ATCTATGCTTCAAGATCTATTAGATCGATAGAGGTAGATGAAAGCATGCTCGGACTTAAGCATAAAGAATAAATGAAGAACGAGAATTGTTTTGCTGCTGAGGTTAAATGGCGGTCGGTTTGAAAATTGTTTTGCTATTCACCATGTGCTAGCTAGCATAACACGGTCTGCTGTAGGGTGGATTTTCCCAAAATTTTATTTTATATGACCCGTTTTCACATCTATTGTGCGGATCCGAGCACTTCTCACATTCGATTCGTTTCCTCGCACTCATCATCCACGAAGGTCTTCGGACTTTTACGTGAGGCTTCGGCTGCTGCTTGAGGATCTTCCTTTCACTATGAATGTCACAGAATGCCGACTGAGTCGATTCTCCCTGGAATCCTGAGATAGCGCGGCTCGAGCTTTCCCAATTAGATTGCAGACAGTGATTTCTTTCCAGACAAGTCCGATACCAATTTGCCGACTCCGGAGGGATGAGAAGCTTGGTTGTCCAGGAACAGAATCAAAGTAGCACCATGCTCGTGATGACGGACATCAATACCACTGTGCCTTCCGTCCCCTCAGGGTGGATTATCCGTTGACAAAAAAATTCTTGTCAACGGATAGTCATATCAACAACAACCTCGCTGTGTAAAAGAGCATTGCTGGTGAGCATGCTTCTTTCATGTGGTGTTCCACTGAAGAGGGTCCGTCTCGATGAGAGCACAAAGAAGCCACATCGAGAAGACGAACAACTGCGAATCACCGACTCAGATCCTCGGATCTGATGAAGACGAAGATGTCGAAACGTTGGCGGAATAAATGTATTTATCAACCTCGTGTAAGGTTAACAATGTAATTACACAAGGATTAAAGCCTAAAGCAATCGCTACCCAGACCGACTTTTACCAACCTCGGCATTGGTCGGAGAATTCATTGTTTCCTGGATGGGCATACACGAGGATGTTACTTTATTGTTTATCCACAAAAATGCTGACGTTTTGGCCGACTTCTCCTACATCGTAGGCCGGAGAGGTCAAATTGACTACAATCTGGTCACCCAAACACCTCTATAACTTCAATGAAAGATTTAAATCGCATTGAAAACAAAGTAGCTCCTTCGTTCGCTCACCGCTTTTTATTACAGTGGTATTTCACATGGAGACCAACAGTACAGAAGTCACATGGATGGATAACACGCCCATCACTATCGTATACTGTGTGAGAACAGGTCTGATAACGAGACATTCGTCACTCTAGTTCACTTCGGAATTCTTGGAATTTATCCAGAATGCTTCAGCAGTTTTGAGCGCCGAATTTCTCGATTCATGTGCTGAGTGCTGAGATAGTGACTTTTACTTCAAATTCTTCCCCGTTATGTCTCTGTGCCCAATGCACCTAATGAAGTATTTCGTCTAAAATTAAGCTTACTGAATAGGTGTTCTTTAATACGGACACAAATGGTCCACCCATTTCGCCAATGTATTTACTCCCGCACGCTTTATAAGAGATCACATAAACAGTACCTGAGCTCATGCAACCACCTTCTCTATCACTTATTTGAGCATATTACGGAATTTTGCGTTGCACATAGACGGTCGTACAGGCGGTTGTGAACTAGCCGGCGTCTTAGAGTACTCGGTGGTATTTCAATCACTGCTACGAAATCTTTAAGACCGGCCCTTCTCATGCAATGTTTTGTAGCTGCACCTACTTTGTTAGAAACGGAGAGCAAGATAAACGAGACCTTATTTCTGGTAAAACTACCGTTTGGGGCATCATTTTCCTCTACACCTATCCTAAGAAGATACCGTTTCGTTGCCAATGGAAATTGCTATTTGCCGCACCAAATTCCGCGATTTCCCCTTCTGCTCTCTTCCTGTGCACACACTGGTGGCTGTTCGAAAAATGCTTCTTACAAGCGGGCTTTTCGTTTTTGAAGGATGAGAAGAGAGGTAATGAACCAGTCAGTTTTGTTGCTTAGCGTTCTACACCATTTGGTGAGTCGTTTTCTCATCGATTAATTTGAGAGTTCAGAAATGGAAGCCGGTTTTCTTTCGGTTTCTCTCGAGCAAAAATAATGTACTTTGACTGTTCTCCCAGTAACTCAAAACACTTGGCCGCCTTCTTTGTGTGGAGCAGATGGCAAAACAATCATCTCTATATCTACCGTAGGGTGGTGGCAGGAAATCGATTACTGGAGTCTCGACATTAGGCACAAATGCAATGGCAAGGCATTGGCTTCGTGCCAGTCGCCGTACTTTTGCCAACCCTCCCATTTGTCGGAAATGGTTCCCGAACTACCCGAGGATTTATCAGTGCAGGCACCATCTTAAGAAAGCAATGAGCTGCTGAATCGAAAATCCATACACGTTTGTTACTCCACTGTGTTGCATAAGGAATTCGTGGACGGCTTACGTTGTAGAGTTATTTGACACATTTGTAGAAAGGGCGATAACTTCGAAGGACCCCATCACACACGCGCTGTTGAGAAGCGCGGTACGTAGACGATCCAGAAGCACTTGGGTGTTCTAAAGATGGCGTGGAATATGTTTCAATAACTGGGTAAGCATCATGCATTCGACTGCTTCAAGTATGGTTAGAGGTGATTGAACGCATATCTCAAATATATAATGATTTGCAGGGGCCTGATGATGTATCAAGTCAGTGTTTCTTTACTTCAAGAGAAGTTTGCTAATAATTTACCGACTTTAGAGTGGAGACGGTGAGCTTACGGATTTTCGTCGAACCAACGACTACGTTTTAGTTGCAAGGCACTCTTTACTACTACGTTTCACGCTCCCCTCTCGGATTTAAGAGAGTTGGAACTAATATATGTGCTATGTTTTCTTTTTTAATTCGCGTGTTGAGGATATTTCGGGATCAATTTGTCATCAAACCGACAAGGGTTTTTTTCGGCGAACACTGGCAAAATCCTCTGTCAGCATCCACGCTAGCATGAATAGAGGCTGTCAGGCTGTTTTCTTCAAAGAATACTACTACTTGGATGGACCGTCCTAACGAGTTGCGCGGACCCCAACACATTTGCCATTCGTTTCTTTCCCTCGCAATCCTCGTCCATGGTGGTAGTTTTGTTCGAGCATGGTAACGCGTGTGAGTTTCATACCGTGATTTGTAAAATAACTGCAGCTGCGGGTACAGATGATTAATATTTTTTACGAACACGTCCGTCCTGCGTCGTTTGCATTCTCGTAGAGTCCACTCTACAGTTATTTTCCTCCATCTGTCGTCAGTTCTTCTCATTATTTGACCGTCCCATCTATGTTTCGCTATCGATGTATATTCTCCTGGATCTCGATGATGTGACAGATTTCGAAGATAAGAGCCTCGCATTCCAGCTAGATATTGAGAGTGCGGTTATATTTCAGAACACATCGCTAAAGCGCTCTGTGAGTAGTGCAAAGTAATTTTGACGAGGTTGAAGTATCAACCCACGTTTCTGTAGCATAACAGAGCTCTGGGAGGATCGCTGAATCACAAAAGTGAACGCGGATTTTCGGGTTCATCAGTTGGCTAGTGGCTTCCTTCAGAGACCCGAATGAAGCCCAACCTGCTTTCTTTCTTCTACCTAGTTCTTCCTTCATGTTGTTTTCCATGTTCATTGATTGCCCAAAGTATACGTACGATGTGGTCTTTGCAATGAGAGAGCCATCCAATTCAATATTTTCGCCTTTGCACCACGGGTTTTTCATGAACTTGGTCTTTTGATTTATGCGCTGTCCGATCTCTTTTCCCACTTCGTTGAGCATGTTGATCATCACTTCTGCTTCGCTAGTACTTCTTGAGAAGATGACAATGTCGTCGGCAAAACGAAGGTTTGATAGGAATATTCCATCAATACGTATGCCTTTCTCATCCCAATCGAGTGACTTCATTATCCACTGCAGAACGGCAGCTTTGGCGACATTGTTTCGCTTCGTCGAACCCTTTTTCCTATGCGAATAGTAAGAAGTTGATGGAAAAGCTGTATTTTCGTAATGCAGTTCCGGTTACAGTCGGACAGAGTTCTTATGTAGGACCGCTCCACTCCTTGATCGACGAGAACTGATAGGATTGCATTCGTTTCGACACTGTCAAACGCTTTCTCATAGTCGACAAAGGTTAAGACTAAAGACAAGTGGTATTCCCGAAAAATTTCGATGACTCTGGACACGGCTTGGATGTGATATCCATGCAGCAAAATCCTTTTCGAAATCCTGCTTGCTCGACTGGTTGCGCCTCATCCAATGCCCTTGATATGCGCGACAGGTACGAAGATTCATTTCGTCATCTTCCTTAGGTATGATGACCGTGCGCGACGTTCTCCACTGGTCTACGTTTTTTTCCCTTTGGAGGAAGACTGTCGTATGGTTTGCGAGAAATACATGTAAATTACGACCTCCAGCTCTAAGAAAATCGGCGGTCGTATTATCAGGTCCAGGAGCTGTGCCTCTTTTCATGCTTTCAATCGCAACTCGAACCACCGACTGAAGAATTCCAGGTGATTTATCTCCAGGGGAGGGGGGGGGGGCGGGGATATTAGGGTCCAGGACGGGGATTGTGGAACGGAAAAGGTTGGTGTAGAACGTTTTTTTACTAATTTCATATCACGGCGAAATGTCCTGACGATCCCATCTTCGTTCATCAGTGCTGACAGCGGAACATTACACTCACACCCAGTCTCGACGACATCTTTTTAGACTGCTTCTTATCTCTGCTGCTCCCAGTAGTTTTTTCTGCCTGTACTGATTTAGATCTTCCTACAAAGCCCTTCTGCAGCTGGCATTTATTATTAGTCCTGTTAAACGTGTTGCAGTAGGATCAAGCATCAGTTTCTTTCTCTTTTCGAGCAACTCCTTGGTAGTGACGGAGATGTGATCCGATATTCTTGTTTGAGGAACTGAAGCGAGTTCGGCACAGCTTTTCAGTCCTTCGACGAGCAGATCGTAATCTTCGGTAGGGTCTTCTTTAATCTGCCAGTCACGTTTGGACAGGACTTCGTTTAGAATGTTCTCGTCCTATACAGCTTGACTTTTTCCTCGTGGTCGATGAAGAGAATTCCTTTCCAGCTTAAGGCTGAATCGAATCTTCGCGCAAAGAAGGCAGTGATCGGAACCAGTACAGAATGACGAGACTACCAATGTGTCAAGTAGGCACCATCTTCTGTTTGTCAGAATGTGGTCGATCTCCGCTTGAGTCATGTCATTAGGAGACTCCCATGTCCAGAGGTGGCTTTCTTTCCTCTGGAAAAACAAATTTCTATGGAAGAGACGTGCTGCTGACAGGAGTCCTGCGAGACGGTTCCCATTCTCAGTTCCTTCTCCTAATCCAAAATTTCCGATCTTGTATTCGCTATCGTTGGCCTTTCCTGTTCTGGCGTTGAAGGCTTCGAAAAGAAATTTATGATACTTTTTATCATTGCGGATAAGTCCCTCCAACTGATAGTGGAACACATCTAATCCGTACTCATCAACTGCGCCGGTTGGTGAGTAGCAGTTCATGATTGTGATCATCCTATGACGTGTCAGTTGAGGATGGAGGACGGCTATGCTAGAGGAAAGGATCTCGCATGTGTCGATGAGATGGACAATGGATGGATGGACGACAAAGCCTACCCCGTCGACATTTCGTGACAGGACCTTCCTGCACGGATCACAAGGATCCTGTTGCTTAGTTGGCGTATGTTGGTCTTATCGATTTTCGTTTCTTGTAGTGCGATCACATGAAATTTGAGACGGGAGCACTCAGTGTGCGGGGTACTGGGGCTGGCCTATTGCTGGTTGTGCAGCTTTGTCCTCCCTGGAGTACTGAGTTAACATTGCAAGGGCGTATCCAGGTCTTCACCACGAAATGAAACAGAGGGAAGTATGTTTTCGGCGACGAATCCTTCGCTCGGTCTTTCTATTAGTTAGTTCGGAGAGATGTTAAAACCGAAATCGGAAACGAAGGTAGGAATGAAAACATAACCGACTGCTCAAGGACGATGAAGAAGCCAAAAGATCAAAGAAAACCAATAAAAGAAAAATAAATAGACAGAAAGGGAAAAAACAACACTTCGTAATACGACAGTAGTTCTAGTGTTTCTCTATCTATTAAATTAAAGTTGAAAAAGAATAGGCGATAACTAAACAAAAAGAATAGGCGATAACTAAACAAAAATTTATGGAAGAGTGGGAGGGGCCACTGTAGTTGACTGACGTAATTCCAATCCTAACTGATCAAGTTGATTGTTGTTTCGTAAATTATTCGCGTACTTTGATGACCAGTTTGTCCCAATCATGGTATCGTCTAAGGGTACCATTTCATGACCCATGAAGTGTTTGCAGTTAGCAAAACAGTTGGTTCACTTGGGTCAAGAACATCTGTACCCATCTAGTAGACGGTTACCGTAGAGAGAGGGTATTTGCATTTTGTCGTTTCACCTCTACTGTTCTTTTTGTCCATCATTTGCCAGTATCATTACATGAATGCATGCCCTTGCATGTTTCGCTTTCGATGTATTCAAAGACGAGGCAGTTTTCGAAAGTGTAAGCTACCTAATCATACATTGGATTGATGTTATCAATAGTTCTTAAGAAGACGAAGAGGTAAAGCCTTCGGACTTGCGGCTTACGCCGAAAAATGTCAGGAAAGAAGCAGCTGGCATTTTGGACAGAATTCTATGGCTTTAGTTAGGACTTAGAAGTTATCCATGCAGCAGAACCCATATTGAATCTCTCATACAAATGGTTCAATATTATACGAATTCACAATAGGGTGCTTTTCGTCTAGCTTTTCCCCGACATTTCTTCAAATGATGTGAAAAACTGCATAGAAACGGTGAAAAGATATCTGGTACATGCTGCTGGTGAAGTTCAAATCCAAGTGTTTCTCCTCAAATACAGCTCAAGTTAGAAGTAACGAATGAATTTTCTCACTTCTCGAGAAGCCGATATTTAATGAACAAAGCAAAACGTTTATGCATATCGAGTATGAGAAAGCAGAACGAGAAGGAATAATTACCTTCCAGAGCAAAGTCGACATTTTCATGATATAAATGAATGAAGAAGAACGTCTGCACAGATCTGATCAGATTTACTTCAACAATTCTTCTTTACGTGCACAGTGGGTCTGAGAGAAAAGAAAAAACGAACAGATGTACCACAATGGAGCGAGTTGATATTTTCGTGGTGAAGGCTAGTCAAGAAGGATAGCTGCATGACTCTGATCGGATTTAGGGTTTAGTTCAACGGTTCTCCTTTATTCTACTTACCGACCACTGAACCACTAATACGCGAACAATAACTGGAAGGCGGACACAAGCTGAACTGAAGCTGCTAATTTCAATGAAAGCGATAGCTATGTTAATGCGAAAAAGATTTGTGGTAAGGTTCTAGGATTTCGTGTGCTCACAATGGGCGAGAAATTGGAAAAAATCGAAAATAGTGTAACACTAGACACTAGGAATATGCGAAAGAAACTCATGTGAGAACAGGAGAACAAGAAAAGTACGAGTAAGCGGTAGATAGTTCTACCATATACCACATACTCTGGTAATCCTTCTTTAAGCCACGTCTTCCTTAGCCTTTATCTCCTGTCGGTGATATAGTGCTTTGAATTTTTATTCACGCAAATCATGCACAAAGCCAGCAAAAGCAGATGATTGGAAAATTACAAAATAAAACGAGAACAAGAAAAAAGAGAACACGATAACTGCTTAATGATAGATGAATGCATCTCGCTGGATAGCAGAGAGGAAAAAAAGAAAAAGAACAGCAGAATAACGATTAAAAGGAAGAAATCGACCGATGCAGCGATGAACGGTGGTGACGCCGTCCTCTTAACTACTGAATTTGAATACCGGTCAGCTCGATGTCACCTTGGATCTGTAGACCACTGATATCATTCGGATCGCTACGATGTGCGAACGATGTGAAGCGCTCTCCATTCACGAAGATCTGCAAACGATAAAATCTCGACTACGAGATAGTCGAAAATTACCTGCATGTATAATTCTTCATTTTTTCGCACTTCTGGATATTCTTCACAAAGTTCTTCGACAGCTTTACTGTATTTCAGGAATGAAAGGTATTTAGCGATGTGTCGTAAATGACGGTCAAGTAATTCGACCTCTAGATTCTCGCGGAATATTTCGTTATATACTTTTACTTCTTGCAACTTGGATTTGCTCATTAATAATTCATACTAACGTAGACATCTGAACACCATCCAAAATATCAACTTTGTAAAAAGAAACTCGATCGATAGTCATATTCTAGGTCAGAGCTTCACATTCAAATTCACCCAAATAACTCCTGGAACCGTATGGCATTACCATTCACGGGGTTCACTGCCAGAATTTCTTCACGCTGTCCAGAATCGAAACTAATAATTTAAAAAGCACTAAATTACCAGATTTGGAAAACCTATTGTTATTCTTCTCCCTTACAGAAGCACACCGTCGTACGAAGTAATTCACCCTCAACAGGGTTTCCCAAACTGAGAAGTGCTATATTTCCATCCAGATCGTGATCTAAGAATGATTCAATTCCAGAGATTGCTGCAAGCCTGCCAACCACATGGTCACTAGGCGGCAAGTGGTGCTCAGAACCTAGATCTTTCGAGAATCAAAGGAAAGAAAACATACTCAACCAAAAAAATAGTACTGGTGACATGGAAATTTTGCCCAGACGCTAGTCGAGCTTCTTTAAAACTGGCCTTTATGTTTTTATTTATACAAATAACTATCTGAGTATTGCAATTCCTAGAGAAACCTGGAATGCGAAGGATTCGTTTTTTATGGCTAAGTCGAAACCGACGCCCTTCTCGAATGGCATCTTTCCTTCTCTCTCCTCGTTACCCCATTCATTTGCTTGAAGAGCGTTTCGAACAACAGCCTGAAAGAAGAATTCCACATTTATTTTTAATTTTGTCACTACATCATATTTGACTACGAATCGACTTCCAGAACAGTTATCTAAAAGAATGAATTGAAAGTCAAAGTTTCTGTGTTTGTTTCCAGGTAAGAGCAAGAAAGAAATTTAAGCAATAAACTTAATTTCTGCAAAACTCAGTAACGGAAACAATACCAAACAAAAAGTTAAAGCGGATAATCACATGCCTTTTCATCAAATCGTGGATTGAAGTGGAGTGCAATGTCACCGTTTTTTCTGAGCAGATTGACATTGAAGCGTTTCGCTTTCTTCTCGACGGTGCCGAAGATCAGAAGTGTTTTGTCGACTTGGAAACCGCTTGCGATTCCGCTCTCATATGGCACAGGCTGAAAAGTATAGAATGAGTCAAATGGAAAAGAAACGTTGAACAAGCAACATAAATGATAATAAATGAACTGCATTTCCCAATAATATATAGTATGTAAACTAGGGAATTGAGATTTGACAACAATGGTTGTGTATGCTCATTCCCATGCTCATAAAGTAAAAGAACATCGAAATGGCCTTCTGATTAAAAATCACTTTACATAGTACTGACTGAACTAAGGTCAAAAGTTCTTCCACACATTCACAGGTCAAATGACATAAGTTAATGTACTGGTGCTCCTAAGGAAACGTCACTTAGTGGCGATCTTCAATGACACGATGAAAGAAGCTCAACTGACCCTCTGATATTACGGTGAATGTCATCAGCGCTAATTGTTGAGATGTGAGACATCAATTAGATTTTTTTATGCTCAGTTTTTGTCCCATATCATAAACAACTTAATTCCCACTAGCACAAAATTATTTCTAGGAATTACACTTTTACAGCGCTAAACGTTTTATCAGAACACCGACGGCTTTGACAGAATGCTTTTGATGGAAACTTTCGAGGATAACCAACTAAAAATCTTTAGTGTGACAATACTTATACTAAATGTGATTATCACTCTTTGCGAGTGCAACAGGGCTAATGACAATCATGATAGCAAAAAAATTACACTTGTTGCCCTCCTTGAAATTAACGATAGCTGAATTACTGCCTATCCGTTTATGAGTAAAATCAGTTTCCACATCTTATAAGATAATATCGATGCAAAGTGTAGAGATAAAGCGGCCGGTGTTTATGTCCCTAAGACATGTGCCATGCGATCAACTTCATCAAATATCGTTTGCGTGATTGAATACATATCTGCTCTATAGAATGACTTGCGGTAGCCTATTACTGTGTCAAGTCAGCGCTTTTACCCTCTCAGACAGGTCTGGTACCATTATCTCCACTGCGGATGGATGAAAGAGCTGGACAACCAGAGACCCAGTACTGAACCAACGACATAGTACGTATTGTAGTGCAACTCTAACCACTGCGCTACAGGACCCCATTAGAATCGATATACGATGCGCGGAACCTTGTTTCATTCTAGGGATGATTCTATGAAGTTTCAAAAAACAAAAGAAGTCAAGACTGAAACATTTCCCTCCGCAAGGCATCCTGTCAACCGCAGCAATAACTTGGTTTGGAATGACATTCACTGTATGCATGATAAGACCTGAGCAAAATCGCTTGTTTGCAGATCGAAGGTTTTCACGAAAGACATTGAAAATGCGGAGATAAAGGTTTAGGAATCTAAAAATAGTTGATAGCCCTCCATTTCAACGAAAGCATTCATCAGAGGTGAAATAAAATCTTATCGTTAATTTAATATAACGCCTAACCTATTTTATTTTCACACTATTTTTCTCTTTATTTTATTTCATACGACCTGTCTTCACATCTACTGTGCAGATCCCAGCATTTCCCACATTCGATTCGTTTCCTCGCATCCACTATCCACAAAGATCTTCCAACTTTCACGTGTGGATATGGTTGCTGCTTGAGGATTTTCATTTCATCTTGAATGTCGTAGAATGCTGGTTGAGAAACTCTTCATGGAGTCCTGCGATAGCCAGGCTAGAACGCTTCCAGTTGGATTGCAAAGACTGACTTTTTCAGACAAGTCCGGTATTAATTTCCCGACCCCGCAGGGATGACAGACTTGGTTGGCCCTGAGCGGAATCGAACTAGTACCATGCTCGTGATGACGGACATCACTACCACTGCGCTATCCGCCTCCTTATTCACTCTATTTACTCCGTCTCTGAACGCTTTTCTGAATCGCTGGATGTCTTCACTTGCAAGTGCCTCTGGTGCAGGTCAAAAGAACTACGCTAATTCTTCGACTTCCGTGCCATTTTGATATTTCATCAACGTAAATACCATTGTAGTGAGCTCTCCCACATTTCCAAACACCTCAACAATTGTATGTGTCTTCAATCAAAAATCATTCGTAGTAGATGGCAAAATTCAAGAAAGCATAGAAGGGAAGGTAGTTATAGATATCAAATAAACAAGAAATAGTGCTAGAAAGCATTAACAGCAAGTTGAAAACCTTACAACATTGATTTATATAGCTTCTCGCTTCAGAATAAGACATGCCCTTCCGTAACTTCCAATGTTGTTACTCAATTGCTTACAGCATCACCATGGCTAATTAAGGCTTCTAAACACCGATTCATGTTGTACAGCCTCGGTTCATCTGCACCGCAGGGCTATCCATGTTTAGGAGTGCCACATATCCATTCAGAAGTTCAGTTAAGTGCAAACTTACGCCAAGCTGCACACTCGAGTTTCTATGTGATGAAAGAAATTGCAGAAGACATAAACGAGGAATGGTTTGGATCAAATTGCATCTGCATTTCTTACGAGCATTTTTCACCAAGTGCAAATTCCTTGGAATGCATACCCTCCCAGATATAGTCTTCTATAGATTTTTCATTTCCATATCTATTTGCGTACCTCAAGCGCTAATCGATCACCTCAAAATTCTACCAAAAGCAAAAAAATAACAGAAAAGAACATACATAATATTTCCCTCCCCAGTGCACATGGTTCAAATAAAGATCACCATCGATCGAAAGGTGAGTGACCGAGGAGAGTGGGAGACGATGTTCGTAGTCTTTGAACTCCTTCTGGTCGATGACTACCTGAAAATTAAAGTAGGAAAAAAGGAAAAGAAGAATTTCGTCACATAGAAAGGTACAAATCTGGCCATTCTATTACAGTATTATCTAGGAAATATCACTAATTAAACTTTTATCTTCAAGTGACAACAAACTTCAGCAGGGAATTCAGTATTTTTTTTTCGACATTGTTCGGAGTATAGAAAGACTTCTGATGAAATCATCTCAACAAACTGGATTCTTCTCGATCTGCGTCGAAATATTCAACAAAAGAAAAACAGTGGATCGACCAGTGAACCTAAGGAATAAGACGCTCGATGGTTTATATCTCTGGTATGCAGCATCGCTCCAGCTATGTCTCTTGTCAACAAGATAGTGCAGAGCGAAGCACACAGGCGGCAGAAATGTATTTTTTTCCCTCCCAAATATATAACACTGGCATTTTATAACAGTTCTCAAAACTCGAATTACGAGATATTTGAATTGAATTTCATTATAAGACCCATAGACGTCCCAGACGTACCCATCAAACCTATGAAACATACTTGATTAAGGAAAAGAAAAAATCAGCTGTATGCGCTAAACAACAGATGTTCTTTATCTTTCTATTTAGCAAACACGAAGTGTTATTGTCTTTCTTTATTTACGTACAAGCTGACGTTTCGGCGGATTTCGCCTTCCTCAGAGCCTGGAAAGGTCAATTTGACTACAATCTACCCGACCAAACACCTCCATAACCAAACAGAGAAAATGTTAAATCAAGATTTCAATCACATTGAACACAGAGTAGCTTCCTTGCACACTCACCGCTTCTTATGAGTTTCCACTGATTATGTCACGTGGAGACCGTGTTCGATTTGATTGAAATTTTAATTTAGCATTTTCTCTGTTTGGTTATGGGGAGTTTGGCCGGGTAGATTGCTGTCAACTTGACCCTTCCAAGCTCTGAGGAAAGCGAAATCCGCCGAAATGTCAGTTTGTACGAAAATAAAGAAAGAAAATAACACCTGGTGTTTGCTAAACAGAAAGATAAAGAATTAATCAATGCCGAGGTTAATAGAAAGTCGGTCATGGCAGTTAGAATAGATGTTGACCCAACGGTAATACTGTCCTCTAGCCGTCGTCAATAGTTGCACTATCAGCCAGAGGACGTTACCAAAAAACCTAGAAAAGAATGTTGTCCTGTAAATGACTATTGAGATGGCGGGTCACATCTATGAACGATTGCTACTGATTCATCATAACTCCAATCAAAAAGTATCCGTTTCCAGGTACCATTTTCCGGCTTCTCATAGAGACCATACAATTAATCATGAAACCGCTCGCATTCAGGGTAAAGTACAACTGACACACAGACTATTGCTTCCCAACTTACGTTTCAGCCGCTGAGGACATTCGAATTGTGTCGAAGAACATGCAAAACATAGACTGTACTTGAGGCGAATAATGGAGCAGGAGAAACCAAAAAACTGGAAATCAATAAGAAGATATATAGTCTGTAACGAAGCAGTTCACTGTCTACCTGACTGTCGCTCTTTCATCTCGCAGCATTTTTCTTTCATTCTACAAGACCACTCATCACATCTATTGTACGGATCCCATCACTTCTTGCATTCGATTCGTTCACCGACATCGACAGAATGTTCCTCGAATATTTCGCGTGTTCTTTGGGATGCTGCTTAAGGATCTCATCTTCTTTTTAGGCATGTCGTGGAATGCTGACCGAGCCGATTCTCCATGCAATCATGGATACAGCCAGACTAAGGCGCTTCCACATGGTTTGCAGAAGAGCTCCTGGGCAGTGACCCAATTAGCGCTTTTGCTTCCTGATCGACGTCATCGCTATCCACTGCGCTACCTCGTCTCACAACGCCCCACAACCCAGCAGTATGCAGATCACATGTGAGCGTCCGATAAGTCTTGAGGTGTAATTACCAAATACCACCAAGCCGAAATCACGATATTTCTTTCATAGCACAGAAGTCTGACAAACTTCCAAACTAAAATATCCCCGAATATAGCAAATTATGTGCTGTACCAAAACCAGAACCTCGATGGGCTCTTCAAAATGTAAGATAATGACTAAACAAAGAAGCTGCTCGAGTGAACTCCGAAAGAAAGAACCAATCTCAAGGAAAACAACCAATAGATATTCACTACACTACAAAGCCATCTGAAATTTTCTAACAATTGCAATTCCCGTTGCTAGTCACATTAGGCGAACAGCCTCCTTACTAACAACAATTCATTTTGATTTATATTAGTTCGTTTTTGTTTTCCATTATTGAACCTGGTTTTTTTTCACTTCTCCATCTAGTTGACAAAGCATCATGTTCTATATCTGCAAAAAATAAAGCCCACAATTGTTAATGACTCTGTCACTTCTTATTGGCAGCTTAGCGGTGATCTATTCCAGAAATCCTTGCCGCGACAACTCGTCCGTAGTCCTATGAAAACGCCGCTTTACCAAATTACAAAGATTCAATCATGTCTCTGCTTTATTCTCCAAGAATCGCCGTTTTTTCCCAGGAAAACCATTGCCTCATATTACTCGATTACTTCTTTTGGAGACATTTATTACTACATTTCTAAAGATGTTAAGCAGTTTAGTTTATGAGTTGGATTTTCTCATATCAATAACTTAATATACTTGCATATTAAACAAAAGTTTGCCCCTTACTTAATAAAAATATCGAATAATTTTCAAAAATAAATCTTTAAAACCACGAAGACTGATAATACCTGGAAACGGTCGTCATGGGCACGGATTCGGATGTCGAACGAGTCTCCTTTCTTAATCGGGCACGATTTGCGCTCTTCTTTACCCCATTCGCCATTTGCGAAAGTATTCATGACAATCTAAACAAGTGTATTACAGTACACAAAATAGCAACGCCGGAGAAAAGTTAGCGCAGTTTTATTTTAATGTCGCTACGGGATACAGAGTCAAGGAAATTTCAGTAGTCAGTGAGGATAAGAAATGAATCCACGGAAGCCTTTCAGGGACAAATTAAAAAAAAACACAACAAAAATAACAGAGGAACTGTAAAACTAACAATTTTTTGAGTGGATGACTCAGTTCCACTATAGCATATCGTGTTTAGGTGCACGAGGAAAAAAGAAAAATAAATAGATTGAAGGAACGCAAAATACGACTATCCATAAATAGATAAAAACAATTCAAAAAACATTTTGTTCCCATTTTAAATAAATTTTTTAAAGTTTAGTAATTGTAGACGAATTTCGATGGTTCTATAAAATCTTTAGCCCTCCTCTAAAATCTCTCCTCTAACTTCCTAGCTTTCATTTGTGATTTGTGCTCAACATAAACTCATCTTTAATGAAAAGTGAAAATCAACGTTAAAACACGACCGAACAATAAGAGCTTTCTCTTCTTGTCCCTTGACGATGTAACAGGATATATAGACCCTCCCATCGGTTTACCGCCTTAACGTGTCTTGGTGTTGCTGGGTGTCGGGCTGCAATGTACAGCGGGAATCATTCCCTCGCAGGATTCCAAATCTGAGGAGCCTGACGTTTCCACAAAGTTACCCAGCTAAGAGTAAACCGATACCAGGATCCACCGTCGTCCTAGTAACAGTCTCATGTTGGCAAATCTCCTTCTGATTCACAAGGCGGTGACTACCCGTGGTCATAACGACCTGAGGCATACCATGATCAGGCTGACTTCGAGACTCCAGGGAAACACCATGGCTAAGCCAGAAAAACTCCGAAACATTGAGATTATGCTGGAGCTCGCACAACTCGTGAGGATGGGCCATTCAAATATCCAAGTATGTAGAAGTAGACCAATTAATGAAAGGTGTAATAACTTTAGAAGAAACGCTAACATAAAATAGTCAAGAAAAACTTAAAAAAAACCCAAAGAAATCAGGCGAAACCTCCAATCCTGGGTTTATCGTGCGTTTTGGCGTTTATCCTGATAACAATGGATACTGTACCTAACGAAATCACTTGTTTGACTTACATGGAATACTAAACAGTACTGCTACTATCTATCAAGAAGCTATAAAATATTAAAAATCCTTCCTTGTCTTCATCCGAATCCAGAACTAAGATTGACATCTCTTTTTTTAAACTAAAGCGAAGTATCAGATGATGTGTCTTGTACGATACGTGACGAAGATTCTCATCAGACGAAATGACAACGTGCTGTGAAATAAAATGGTAGACGCCTTGACGACAAACTGTTATTAACACAAAAGTGAAAACCTTATCTACTCAGTTTTAGTGAACTACCTTAAAGTGGGCCTTTCTGGCACTAACCCCTCTTATGGTTCATTTATGGACGAAATACATCCATCCACGCAGCGATGCTGCCACAACATAAAAAGCTTCTGGCGCAACCCACAATCTAACAAATCTACAGCATTCCACCTCTTCAGGATGATTCATAGCGTCCAGAAAAACATTACCTCTTGAAGGATCATATAGACTAACGTTGATCCTTTCATCTACTTATATGTTGGTTTTTCAATTACTGCAAATAATTCCCCCAAAAAAAGAGCGTCTTGAAGATTTAAACACTGAAAAACGAGCCTCTAAAAACGCTTTATTCTGCTAATGCAGGGGTATGGATTATTTTTCTAGAACATTCTTTGAACTTTGAATCTAATCGAAACATAAATTTCTAAAGTTTTCTACGTAAATGCACAACCGCAAACATCTAGTGTATAACGGCCTACCTCGCCTCGCACTGATAAACGAAATCGCGTTTTCTTTGTCAGCAATCGCGAGGTTGTTAACAGCCTACGTTTATTTCCAAACAATAACACACACATATAACACAACCGTAGTTGACGTTTCGGCAGAATCGCCTTCTTCAGGACCGTTTTTTTCACTTTTCTTCCACCGAGGAAGAACAGCTGCTCAGAGTTGCATATGATTGACGACTTCCTTCCTCGGTGGAAGACAGGTGAAGAAAGCGGTTCTGAAGAAGGCGATTCTGCCGAAACGTCAGCTACGGTTGTGTTATTGTATGGAAGTAAACGTATGCTGTTTAACCACCTCGCAATTACAGAGAAAGAACACGACGAATCCATAATCCAATGCCGAGGTTAACAGAAAGTCGATCCTGGAAATCCCGTTTCCTCCAGCATTTCGATGCGCGAAATATGAGCCACGACGAAAAAAACGCCAAAAAAAAAACAGATTTCCATCGTTACAAAACAGCAAAACGCCCTTTGTAGAAACAGTCTGTGGATTCTAACGACTTTTATTTGAACGACTAAAGTTATGAAGTGAACAGTTTCGCATGTTTGAAGTTGAAAGCAGCAATTACCAAGCACGAGTCATCTATGACTCACACCGAGCCGAATCTGTTAATTTTGATAGCGCGTCAATGTCAACAGTATCTAATCGGTTTGAAACACCTTATTTAAAGCTGTGCAAAAATTCAACGCAATATATTCACACAAAGATCACTTTTAATGTAATCAAAGCGAGGTGTGAAAACTGGTACACCTATTTGCTGTGCATCAGATAGGCCTGAAGAAAGCGGATTTCACAGGTTCTTCTCACTTTGCGAAGAAAGCTCAAACTTCAATGGTTGACCGACAGTCTCAGAAAATTCATAAAATTCATAAGTTCATATGGTCTACGCGCATACTGTTTTACTTTCTGATGACGTCAAAGAAGTCCTCATGATAGGAACCTATCCATTAAGGTTTTTCCCAACCCTCTCTTACATATCCCTAACTGTCTTTCTCGCAGAACACTTCAAATACAAACGATGACAACATCGAATTAAACAACCGCCCCTAATTAACACCTTATTCAAAACAAAATCCTAGATGTACTATGGCAAAGAGGTAGGAGAACCCAGGTCACGAGATTGAAGTGAACAGTTTCAAAAAACAAAACGATGCGAAACACATCTTCTTGAACAGACCTTTCCCTCGTCGAAGCGCACTGAAATATGGAGTGGAACGTCATTTCCGGAGAAGTCGGCTGATTTACAGTGAAGGTTGATGGTGAACCTCAATGAAATCATTACAGGACAAAACTACTTACACCACCAAAAAATCAGTTATCCTCAAGTTTTAAGCAACTTTTAGATAAGCCGAATCTTCCAAACATGGAATCACGTCAAAAAATCTATGCATTGCGTACTAGTACCCATCAAATAATTCGTATAATCAACATATCGTGTACTAGTATCCAATGAATAGTTCGTATACATCAAATGCGTTTTTTTCAGATTTGTTTACGAAATTTGAAAAAGAATAAGACTGAACAGCAACGTTGTTATCTAGAAAGAAACGAGGGATAAGAAAGATATACACACCTCTGGGACTCATCGATTGTCGATCCTTTGATAATCAATGTCTGACCGGGTTCAATTTTCTCCTGTAGAAGACTGCGGTACGGTACGGGCTGAAAAGTTGCAAGCATAAGGTAAAGCTCCTCCACATCAAAAATTACTAGTCCACAGGTATTCTTTACGATACACCCCTTTCGAAAATTTTCACAGCTATTCCAACATAGATCTATCTGGTGTGGGAAATATACTCATAATCAGAAAAACTTTCCTATGGTTCAGAATACGATAGAGGCCTAGAATGAAAATAATCTACATATAGAAAATGTGTGGTCACACCAACCCAGTAACTACAGATTACAGTTTGCAAAAATTGACATGAACCTCTCCACAAAAATTATACGTGTTAGAAAAAAAATAAATGGATAAAATAAACTAGTGAGATAAGCGTCTTTAGATTTGGCTGATTTGTTGCATAGATTTCAACCGGCCAAATTAGAGAAAGTAGAAATTGCCGTCGCCATGGAAGAATCACGTCCGTAGGGGGCCAAACCTTCCTCTGAGTTCATCCGAAGAGTGCCTGTAGCGAAAACCTCAGAAACGTCTTATCACGGGCTGTCATGGCTTCTAAAAGAAATCCCTCCCGAGTAAAAATTTATATAGAACAGTTTTTTGACAGGGAACATAAGACAACAAATCGTCCAAACACAGATGAAGGAACCCATGAACCCGACACCGTCCGCGCGGTCGATGGTTGGAAGACGACGAAACGATTAGAATAAATGTTGTCGTTCGCATGCGATTTAATGAAGGGCTATGTAAGTATTTAATTTCCCATAGAAATATCTAAGAATTTAACTTTTTCATAGATTTATTCAACGCAGGCTTAAGAAAGAATGACAGAAACTAAAAATATCATTGTCGGATGTAAAACGAAATTTCTCGATCTGACTTTTACATGACTTGCTGAGTTTACAATCTTTTTCTGTATTAAGTGCTTTAACAAAATGAAATTCCCGACAACCTATGAAAGAACCGGACTTGAAAACATTAACTGTACGGAAATTATGGACCACCGTAGCAAGCGATGTCATGCAATACACAACTCCAATATGCCGGCTTTAATAAAAACACCCTCGTAAGATCACCAAATGCAGCTCTTATGAGTTTCGCGTGGTTATTTTATCGAAACACTTGAGAAAATTGCCGTGCCGCAGAACAAGTCGTCAAATCAACAATTATCACTTAATAACTTCATTATTTATAAGGCAGTAAGTAAAACGGTTAAGATTGTGATTATAACTAAAGCTTCAGCTTAACCGGGTTCATTTCTGATTTGGGCTCCCCAGATCAATCCCATTGACGAGTGATTGCTGACGGCACTGATCGAGCGAAACGAAGGACCCGCATGGTGTGGTGGTGAACGCGTTACTCCCCGGAAAGGACAATAGCGCGTTCGTTTCCCACCGCAGACAGCTGCGGTCCGGAGTTTTGCAAATATCTCAGCATTATAGAAGTTGCATTTCGCAATATACCCTGCCATCAAAAAGGAACCGCTTAAAAAATCAGTAATTTCTTTAAGAAATATGGGAAAGCGAAAGAAAATTGCTAGGAAAATCAAAAAGTAGTGAGAACGAAATACAAAAACACACCTGGAAAGCTCAGTTATAAGCTGTCATAGCTATAGACTTAAACTGAAATAAAAAAAATCTTAAGCAACTACTGGTTGAAAGCTTGTAGAAATAAAATCCTTCGGCATTTTTGCGTAACAGCATTTCTAACAAAACCAATGGATGGAGTGTAAACGCTCGCTTCATCATGAATAACAATGAACGTTCACATTCTTTTGTTGCGAAAATTTCTCGCTTATTACCGTTTGCATCGTTCGCTATGTAATGAGTGAACGAGGACGAGTTACCCTTGTTCTAGACCAAGTCATCACCGCAACATATTTGTCAACCCTTGGACAGCAAGGACGCTTAGCTGAGCCAAGGACAGAGCCGACAACGCTGTGCATTTTTGATTCTAATCGTTTAGATTTCCAGTCAACACCTACTACGGCTCCCTTTCTCTATACTACAGCATTTACCGACAAGTGAGTGTCCAATAAAAGATTCCACTTTACCAGTAAAGTCACCTAAGCCCAGAAATAGTGCGATATTTCCATCCCAAAAACCTCATCCAGTTATAAATCTATACTACAGCCAGAACTTCGTGAAATACCTGTAGCTACCCCATCCTGAAAGCAGTCATCAACCACATGCGACTATAATCAGCTGTTCTAAACTTCCTCATTGGAAGTCACGAAAAAGCGGCTCTGAAGAAGGCGATACTGCCGAAACGTCAGCTAGCGTTGTATTGTATTGTGTTTCTCTATGGAAGTAAATGTATGCTGTTTAAAAACCTCGCGATTGCTGAACAAGAAAACGACGCATTCATATTCCAATGCCGAGGTTAATAGAAAGTCGATTCTGGGGGGTACACTTTCTGTTAAATAAATTTCTAAGAAAAGCATATCACATCGAATATTCGAGTTTTTTTCGCTCCAATAAATGGAGCTCAGTGGCTCCACAAAGAAGTTGAATAAAGAATGATTTTTTCTCAATTTCGATCTAGTCGATAACTAATGGGAAATAGAAATTGTATAGCCAATCAGAATTGTGGAAAACAGGGGCAATAATGATAGTGGGTAAATTTTAGCGCAAGTCTCTGCAAGAAATCCATGCATGTGGTTCGCTTGATACGGTACAATATACGACAAAAATCTGAAGAAAAACGTAGTAATTCCCATGACCGACTTTCTGTTAACCTCGGCATTAATTGATAATTCAATGTTTTTCATCAATAAGCAGACACGAGGTTCTTAATATAGAATTTATTAGAACACAATTGCTGACGTTTCGGCGGTTTCGCCTTCTGAAGAAAAACGGTTGAACATGTCGAATTCACTCAGTGTACGAAATTTTTGTGCATTTGCGTACTCTGCTTTAAGGTGTTAATCATGGACGAATTCATCAAAATACTTGTTGAATCAGAGTAGTCACACAGTTAATCGACAATCACCTTATTCAGAAACTAAAGTGAAAATGAAACGGAAAGAAAAAAAGGCATGCAAATAGTGCACCTCCTTCAACCCTTTTTTTTTCTTCCAAGTTTTTTCAAGAATTCAGAACTTTCTTTAGCACAGATTTTCTCTGTACCTGTACTGCCTTTTCATATAACCATTACATATTTCGTAATACATACGTAAAAAAATGCGTTTCAGTGCTTCGAAATAGGATTACGTTGCGACTTTTTGTCTATCACTGTCTGAAAATCTAACAACGAACTTCTAGTGAACGATTAAAAATCGTGACGAATTGCCAACGAACGACTAAAAATTTATCTCTCTAATGGCTCTAAAGTAATGAAAAATGTATGCAAAATTGCCAAATAGTGTTTGGTGACCAGCCATTAAAGGATAAATGAAAAAGCTATCGGCATGGATCAAACCCTGAGGAATGCGCCATACATTCTACTTCATTAAGCAACGTTTGGAGATGATTGAATGCATATCCGGCCTTTACAATGACTTGCGGTGGCCCACCGATGTATCGAACCAGTTCTGTTATTCTCCCAGACAAGTCTGGCAATGTGTATTGCAGGGCGCCTCCGACCACTGCGCTACACGCATCCCTACTACGTGTACTAGTCATTAGGAATCAGGGATAGCACTATTTAAAATGCCCTATTCTCTATCGTACAGTAGTTTTCCACAAGTAACACAAAGATTTGAATCATAAAATCAGGGAAAGGACACTCTGCACACTGATATCAATGCAACCGATTCATCAACAATGACTAACACTTCCAAACATCACAACCAAAAGATATCGTTCGCACTCGAACAAGTAAACGTATCGTGTTTTAATCGTTGAAAAAAAATCGTCTGAGATACGGTATTCAAATATAAGAACGACGCTCATTCGAAATCCAACGATTTTCTTCTCATCCCTAATCCTCACAGCAATGCTGTCACTCTATCTATTATGGGCAATAGAAACGAAAACCGCACTGTACATATTTCTTTTCCGGTTTTCCTTTCACTCTACATTCCTATGATGATACTTTGATAGCAGTCAGAAGCACTGTGGTTAGAGACGCCCTGCAATGACCCCGCGCTCCAGGGGCTAACCAAGCCTCCATCCCTTCAGGATCAGCACACTGGTACCAGACGTGTCTGGTAGGATAGCAGTACTGGCTCGATACATCGGTAGGCTATTGCAAGTCATCGCAAAGGCCAGATATGCATTCAATCACCTTCACCGATGCTTTATGAAGTCGAATGCATGGCGCATCCCTCAAGGATTGATCAGTACTAAGAGTTTCATTCTATTTTTCTTTACCTTGACAGAAAACGTCCGTCGCCATAACGATGTCACGTTTGGCAAAGCACAATCGTCTTATGAGGCTGATGATTTCAAAAACTTCACAATGTAGATAAGATTTCTAAAGACGAAAATGGTCGACGATAACCATCTATCAACATAACGGTTCCAGATCTTAGCAAAAAAAAAACCACGCAAAACTAAACTCGGCACATGTGATACAACAGCTTCGGAACACTTCTACTGAAGTGTAAAGCTAAGAAAAATTGACAAATGAGTGTCCCATGAACGGAACAAAAACTGCTGTCGTCACTGTTTTATGAAAACGAACTGTTTCTTGATCACATTCCAATGTGTGATGAAAAATGGGATTCCGAACGACAACAGACAAACTTCTCTGAAAGATTAGAGAAAAGTGAGCCAGTAAAAACACTTCCACAGAGCAAATTATCCGCTAGAAAAACGTTATGACGACTGCTCTATCTATAGTTAGCTGCTAAATGGACTCATCTATGACAACGTTCAATGCTTTCAAAATCGTTTGAGTTCGGAAATTAATCACTAGGGATTAAGCGTTCCGTGTGAATTAATCCATTAAGGATTCTTAGAGGGATGGAATGTTTGGTAAGCCCGTGTGCGAGATCGAACCAACGGCTACGTGTGTCTTAGGAGGTACCTCTAATTACTGCGCAACACATCTAAATTGGAAATTGTTTTCAGAATAACCATAAAACTGACCAAAAACAGGAACCAGCGATATCTGATTCCAAATGGTTATGGAAGCTCTCACCAACAAACCAACTACCAATTTCTCAAACATTTCTACAACTGCCGATTAAGAAATCTTCAAGAACTAAATGGGTGAACTGTACAGCCCTAGG